CTGTGTCTTTAGGATTCATGGTGGTTTATCTTGTTTAAAAATTAATGTGACTCAAATAATTCTAGTTGGTGAAATATTTGCTTAATTTGCTTAATTTGTTGTTTTGTATCATGGCAATTTCTTTCGTAGTTTCTTGGTGAATTCTATTTATATCACTATGAAAATTCTGTTTTGGTCAATATTCTTTTCAAGATTTTCTACAAGAAACAGTCTCTGCACGGAATGAGGAGCTTGAAATTGTAACAGTTAGAGGGCAGATGCAGTGTAGTCCTGAGGACAGGATTCATCCTGGTTTTTGAAAAATCTGGCAGCAAGTTTAATTTACTTCAGGTTTATGTCTTGTAATTTTCTACTGCAAGACATTGATTGAGTATATTAATTAACATTAATGTCTCAATTGCAGCAGGGTTATGGTCATGGAACACGCTTTTTTTTTTTTTTTTACAAACTACAAGTAAATATTCTATTCCCTAGTGTACCAGATAAATCTTGTAGCCAAAAACAATTTTCGGGGCGCAAGTAGATTAACATTGATTGAGTCTATTTGCTTCTTTAGTTATAGGAAATACATCTGTGTTTTTCTTTAGTTTCTTACATAGATTTGCTAGTAGACTATGCGTGAAAGAATATATGCTTTTACTTTATGCTGTAAAATAACTTTCATTGTTGTTAATATTTCTATTTTCTGTTTCTTCTCCAGATTTCACCTAATAATGGGCGTTACAACACGTAGAAATTCAAGAGCACCCATAATGGATCTACCGGAGCTCATCATTTTAGAAATTCTGCTACATCTGTCCAAGGGATTGTAATGTGCAAGTGTGTGTGCAAAACTTGGCTACATCTAATTTCTAGCCATCACTTTACCAAGCATCACTTTGCACGTTCAAAAGCTTTGCATGTGATTGAATCTGGGCAGCAAGTAATCATGAAGCTTGATACCAAATTGAAGAGTCCTTTGCTCAATGTTGACGCTCAAGAGATTGCTTTCCACGAGGGGAATACTAAGAGGAAGCGAACCATTAACCTGGATACCAAGAATCACAAGATCATTATAGTGAATTCGTGTAACGGCTTACTTTGTTTGTCTGAGCGCCCTCTTAATAACACAACCATTGTATGCAATCCGGACACAAATGAGTATATAGAACTTCCAGCTCCTAGCAATGCTGATGAGAGTACGGTGTTTTGTGGATTGGATTTTGTCGACAGACTAATCAATATAAGGTTCTTAGAGTGTTGTCTCCAGGAAAAAATCAACATGCTAAATCACAAATTAAAGGAACAACATTCTATCCTTATAGGGTGGTTGAGATTCATACTCTTCGGACCAAATCATGGAGAAACATTGGATTTGCTCCCAGCTTCCAAAGCATAACGTCTTCAACCTATCTTAATGGGATCCTTTATTGGATTGGTGACGGATGTAGCGGGAAGGATCTTAATGGAGTCCTTTATTGGATTTGTGGTTGATGCTAGTTAATTCTTGTCACAAGTTACATATAAAGACAAAAATAAGGACTTGCTAGATTTAATTTAGGTTGTATTTTTTGTATATGGAAAAAAATATTTTAGATTCACCAATTTCATAATTTATA